AGAGGGACCGGCTGAAGCTGCAGCAGAAGAACATAAATTGTGAAGATTTTATGGACATTTATGAGTTCCCAAAATTAATACTTTTATAATTTCCTATGCCTGTCTTTAATCTCTTAATCATCATCTTCATAAGCTGAGGATGTATGTCACCTCAGGACCCTGTGATGATTGCATTAACTATACAAATTGTTTGTAAAACATGTGTTTGAACAGTATGAAATCAGTGCACCCTGAAAAAGAACAGAATAACACCAATTTTCAGGGAACAAGGAAAGATAACCATAAGGTCTGATTGCCTGCAGGATCAGGCAGAATAGAGCCATATTTTTCTTCTTGCAGGGAGCCTATAAATGGATGTGTGACTAGGAGAAATATTGCTGAATTATTTTCCCAGTAAGGAATATTAATAATTAATACCCTGGGAAAGGAATACATTACCAGGGGTAGGTCTATAGATGGCTGCTCTGGGAGTGTCTGTCTTATGCAGCTGAGATAAGGGATGAAATACGCCCTGGTCTCCTGCAGTGCCCTCAGGCTTACTAGGATTGGAAAGTTCCAGCCTGGTAAATTCTAGTCAGACCAGTTGTCTGTTCTCAAACCCTGTTTCCTGTTAAGATGTTTATCAAGACAATGCGTGCCCAGCAGGACACAGACCCTCATCAGTAATTCTAATTTTGCCCTTGCCTTGTGATCTTGCTCTGCCCTTTGCCTTGTGATCTTGTATTGCCCTTTGAAGCATGTGATCTCTGTGACCCACTCCCTATTCATATACCCCCTCTCCTTTTGAAATCCCTAGTAAAAACTTGCTGATTTTGCAGCTCGGGGTCACCATCACGGTCCTACTATTATGTGATGACACCCCCGGAGGCCCAGCTGTAAAATTTCTCTCTCTGTACTTTTTCTCTTTATTTCTCAGATCGGCCAACACTTGGGGAAAATAGAAACAATGTATGTTGAAATATTGGGGGCTGGTTCCCCTGATACCTGTGAGAAACAATACAGAGTAAAAACAACTACATGGACTTCAGAAGTTCGAGTTTTCCAACAATTTTACTGTGTATGGTAGTTTGCCTCCAAAAGTGGAGCAGGACTTGGTCCTAGTCAAGAAACTGGCAATATATGCCTAGTTGGATTTCAAAATTACTATGGACCAGCTATTGCTCTATGCCTCCTTCCCTTGAATGGAGTGGGATCTCTAGTGCTTATCCTATGTCCCACCACGGAACATTGGCTGTGTGGGGACAGATAACTTGTCTCTTTAGTTTCTGGATCTTCAGATCAAGAGAGATTGTACTCAAGGAGCCTCATCTGCACCTGGACTTGATTTAGATAATGAGATTCCAGACTTCAAGCTAATGCTATAGTACAATGAGATTTTTTAAGGCCTTGAGTGAAGATAAATATATTTTGTTCATGGGAAGGATATAAAATAATGGAGTCAAAAGGCAGGTAGATGAAGAAAAAGCATTTGAGGGACTCCAGTTTCCATTCATGATAAAAAATACTCTCAGCAAACTGGGAATAGAAGAGAACCTCTCAAGCTGATAAAAGATATCTACAAAACACACTATTATCATGGTTGATAGTGAAAGGATGAAGATTTTGACTCTGAAGTCAGAAATATGACAAGAATTCCTGCTCTTATTACTTCCCTTCAACATTGTGTTTTAGGTCCTAACCAGTGCAAAAACGTACACACACAAAAATAAATAACATCCAGATAGGGAAGGAAGAGGTAGAACTTTTTAAATTCCCAGATGACATGATCATCTCTATAGGAAATCCTAATAAATCTACAAAAAAAACTACTAGAATTAATAAGTGAATGCAGAATGGTTGCAAATATCAAGATACAAAAATCTTGTACTTCTATATATAAACAATGAACAATCAAAAATTGAAATTTTGAAAAACACTGGTTATGATAGCATCAAACAATATGAAGTGCTTATGGATAAACATGACAAAATATGTGCAAAACATGTACAGTTAATATAAAATACTGCTGAAATAAAGACTTAAATAGATGCAGAAATATTTCCATTGTTCATGATTCAAGAGATGCATATTATCAAGCTGTCAATTCTCTCCAGATTGATTTATGGATTCAACACAGTCCTAATCAAAATCCCAGCAGGGTTTGTTGTTGTTGTTGTTGAAATCAACAAGCCTATCCTAAAATTTATATAGACATGCACAAGACCTGGAATAGCTGAAACAATTTTGAAAAAGAACAAAGTTGAAAGATGCACACACCTGGTTCAAACTTGCTGTAAAACTATAGTAGTCAAGGAAAAGTGGTCTTGGCATAAGGAGAAACATAGATTGCTGAAATAGACTAGAGAATCCAGTAGTAGACCCTATGGATCGTATATAATGAATTGATTTCTGACCAAGATGCAAAGGCAATTCAAGTAGTAAGGATAATCTTTTCAACAAACAGTACTGGAACAATTGGACAGCAATAAGCAAAAAATGAACCTCAACCCTTACCTGATACCTCATATTAAAGTTAACTTGAAATGGATCAGAATTATAATAGCTGAAACTACAAAACTTCTAGATAAAGATATAAGAGAGAATCTTAGTGATCTCAGATTTGGCAAAGATTCCTTAAATAACAAATTACAGTTTATCAGAAATTTTAAAAGTTTAGCCAGACATGGTGGCTCGCACCTATAATACCAACACTTTAGGAGGCCGAGGCTGGCAGATTGCTTGAGCCTAGGAGTTGAAGACCGGCCTGGGCAACATGGTGAAACTTCATCTCTATAAAAAATAGAAAAATTAGGCAGTCATACTGGCATGCACCTGTAGTCCCAGATACTTCAGAGGCTGAGGTGGGGGGATCACGTGAACCCAGGGAGGTCAAGTCTGCAGTGAGCCCTGGTCACACCACTGCACTCCAGCCTGGGTGATAGAGCAAGACGTTGTGTCATACAACAACAACAAAAAGTTTACTGTTCAAAATGTTTTTCTTTTAATGAAAAAACAAACCACAGAGTGGGAGAAAATATTTGCAAAATATCTTTAACAAAGAATTTGCATCTAGACTATGCAAATAACTCTTACAATGTAATAATATAAAAACAACTCAATTTTTTAAATGGCCAAACTATTTGAACAGGCACTTTATTTAAAAAGATATATAGAGGCAAATGATGACATAAAAAGATGCCCAACATCATTAGTCTTTAGGGAGATACAAATTAAAATCTCAATGAAATATCACTATATACTCACTAGCCTGGCTAAAATTTAAAAGGTCGACCATATAAAGTGTTGTCAAGGATGTGGAGCAACTAGAACTCTCATTCTCTGCTAGTGGAAATGTAAAATATACATTTAGAAAACTGTTTTGACAGCTAAAAGAAATTTCTAAAATTCTATACTTAACAGATGATCTGGCCATCACACTCCTTGGTATTTACCCAAAATAAATAAAAGCACATGTTCACACAAAGTCTTGGGTCACAAATGTTTGCATTTGTTTGTAGCAGCTTTGTTTGTAAGAGCAAAAAACTGGAAACACCTCTGGTATCCATTAATAGATAGAGGGGAGTCTAAGTCTCTTTGTAGGACTCTTAAGAACATGCTTTATGAATCTGGGTGCTCCAGTATTGGGTGCATATATATTCAGGACAGTTAGCTCTTCTTGTTGAGTTGAACCTTTTACCATTATGTAGTGCCCTTTGTCTTTTTTGATCTTCATTGGTTTAAAGTCTGTTTTGTCAGAAACTAGGATTGTGACCCCTGCTTTTTTCTGTTTTCCTTTTTCTTGGTAAATTTTTCCCCCATCCCTTTATTATGAGCATATGTGTTTCTTTGAATGTGAGATGGGTCTGTTGAAGAAAGCATACTGATGGGTCTTGGCTCTTTATCCAGCTTGCCATTTTGTGTCTTTTAATTGGGGCTCTGTCGCAGGGAGAGATCAGAGTTCTGTACATATAACCCTGGCTGGAGTTGCTGAAATTCCTGCAGGGAGGCCCCACCCAGTAAGGAGAGCTGGATCAGGGTTCCACTTAAGCAGTCTGGCCACGATTTCTGCACAGCAGCTGTGCTGCATTGTGCGAGACTCCTCCTCATCTGAACCACCTGGACTCCCTAGAACTGGCGGGCTAGAACAGCTGAGTCAACCAAACCGCAGAGATGGCGGCCGCCTCTCCCCCTGGGAATTTGGTCCATCTCAGGCCGTCTCCAACCTGTTGCTGCTGGCTGGCTGGAATTGCAGGTCAGTGGGGCTTAACCTGTGAGGCACCATGGAAGTAGGGCCTGCAGAACAAAGCTGCTTGACTCCCTGGATTCAGTCCCCTTCCCAGGGGGAAGGTACAGACAGATCTGCCACCTTGCCGGGATTCCCAGGACCGGAGTATGTAAAACTGCTGGGTCTCCATGTATGCCTGAGCAGCTACTCTGCCAAGACTCCACACACCTCTGTGTATCAGACCCAGGGCCCTGGTGGTATGGGCTCATGAGGGGATCTCCTGATCCACAGGTTGCAAAGGTCTGTGGGAGAAGCATGGTTTCCCAGGGGAGGTCACACAATCACTCACCACTTCCCTTGGCTGGGGACAGGGGTTCCTTTGGCTCTGTGCCACTCCTGGGAGGACCCATCACCCCACCTGCTTTTCTTCATTCTCTGTGGGTCAGGTTGTCTGCCTAGTCAGTCCCAATGTGAGAATCTGTATATTTCAGTTGAAGGTGCTGAACACATAATGCATGTTTTCCTATGGTGTCTGTTGTACTTAATGCAATGAATAAATGCTAATGACTTTAGATATTTGCAATATTATATATTCCTGTTTACTTTTTTAATAAAAGTTCTTTTTCTGGATACAAGTTTGTTTTCTCTTTGATATTATAACTTGTATCCCATAATAGTTTTGGCAGACAAATGGTGTAAAATGTTACTCTTTCATCGCTTATAGAAATTTTATAGAAAATTGTCTTTTTTAATCTTTGTAGATAATAACCAATGATATGGGTCTTCAATTTTACAGATTAATAAACAGAAAGAGGACAAGGAAATGAGAAAAAAGTATGGCAGCTTAAGTGTCAAGGTTTGTATTTAAGTTTTTTCTCCTCTTTCTCTTTAATTTTGTGCTTCCCTGATTTGACAAATCTATGTAGCATACTGAAGTTTTTCACTTTCCAATGTCTGAGTTTGAAAAAGAAAGTTCTTGAAAGTGAGAGCAAGGCCGGGAGCAGTGGCTCACATCTATAATCCTAGTACTTTGGGAGGCCGAGGCAGGAGGATTGCTTGAGTCCAGGAGTTCAAGACCAGCCTGCGCAACATAGTGAGACTATCTCTTTAAAAATAAATAAATAAATAAATAAATAAATAAATAAATAAATAAAGTGGTGTAAGAAGTGTGAATGGGAAATCAGGAGCTGATTGTTGAGAACAGGGAGCAGAGAGTGAAATTGAAAGCCAAAAAACCAGCTAGTGGGGCATCAGGAGGAGTGCATCCTGATATCCTCATCCTTCCTACTATTTCCCTACCTTCTTCCTACCTAGATACAGGCCTCGAGCTGCCACCCACCCCTCTCCACATAGACTTCACCATTCCAGGAGATTCCAAAGAGCATTGATTTGTTGATGTGTTCTTCTTAGGACATGAGGATTAAAGGGGGAGAGTGGAGAAATAAGCTCAGCCTACCAATCAAATCCTGCCAGGGGAGATTGTGGGCCTGGGAGCAAGAACAAATCCATGCGCTCTAGGACTGAAAACCTCAGCTCTGCAATTGCAGCTCAGGGGAGGGGAAGAGTGTGAAAGAGAGGGACACAAATCCAAGAAACAAAATGAGAATAACAAAGTTGTTTACTTTTGTGTGGCAGGCTGCAAAATCAGCCAAGGGGAGAGAAGCCTCTTTGTCCCCATGGTCCAAGTCTCCACCCAGCGCCACAGCTTCGAGGCCACATTCTGCGACCATGAATATATCATCTACTGGGGCCAAGAAAGCTAAGACTCCAAAGAAGGCTTTAAAGGAAGAGCAATTTGTGGTAAGAACTGCTTCCATGACCACACACTGTCCACCTTCCTCTGCACAGGGGCTCCTGTCTCTTTCGCCCTATCCTTGAGGCCTGCAGTCTAAGCACACCTCGTTCTCGCCCCTGAGTGGGGGGCTCCAGCTGGCTATTTCTAAACCAACATGTCAGGGTGAGCCTCCTTCACTTTCCCAAGATGAAGTCATCAGTATCCCCAGCCAGGCAGTTGAGTCACTAAGCCCCAGTGGGTCTCTATTTAATTACCAAAATAGAGAAGCTACATCCCAAGCACTTTCTAGGATATACAGTCTCAAACTCATGACTGCCCAGTGTCCATCAGGAGCTCACTGAAGATTCCCGGAAGGACACACAGGTATCCAGTCCATTTGCTCATGCGGGATTCCTCAGTCTACAACTGGAGGAAATCATGCTGTCAGCGACATGCATGCATGAACTCTATGCTGCTGCTCTCCTTTTCTACCTTTCCCCTGATCATCACAACTGTTTTTGCAGGAGCTAGGGTGGCACCCTTGGTCTACATAAAAAGGAGGTGCTAAGAAGTAGCTCTGGGACACTTAGCTCACTGTGGGCTAATTGTGTGTATATTTATGAGGCACTGCTCACTACATGGTACAACACCTCCCATCATCATGACCCTGTGTCTCTATAGCCTTCTGCTCTTAGCTACAAGGACAGTTGTATTTCTACAACTCTTAGTTGATCTGTGGACACTGTGAATTGTGTAAGTAGTCAAGGCTCCTTTCAGAAGGCATAGAACCCAATTGGTGACACATATGGCCAATGCCAAGCGCTTCACATAGAGTCTCTCCACTGCATATTTTGCTCTCTCAAACTCTTTGTCCCGTTCCTACATGTTCCCTCGTTCTTCCTTCTTCCCCTACACAGGGCAGAATTTGCATTTCTCTCACTTAGAGCCTGGAGAAGTGGAGCAGAATTGTGCACGCTGTGTGCATCCTTGCTCCAAAAAGGGGGAAGGCAAGGTGCAGACCTCTTGTGCCCACTCGCCAGGAGATGGACCACTCCTCATATCCACAGAGCAGGAGGGAGTAGGTAGAGCAAGGCCAGGCTTGTTGTGCTAATGGAAGTCACACCACTGGGAAGAGAAAAAGGATTCTCCTAGGTGAGCATTTCCACTTTGCAGAGGGTTAGGAAGTGTAGACAATTGGAAATCAGTGTAATTTCCCAAGGGAAAAAGCTGACACTGGAAGAGAGTAAATTTTGCATAGAAATGACCAGTGATTAGGTTCTAGAAGTAAGATTTTTGTAACCCAGATTTTGGGAAGTATTTTTTTGGACCACACACACAAAAAGAACTGGCCCGCTGTGCAATGCTGTGTGCTGACCTGGTTGGGGAGACCGGCCACGCTGGGTGAGGAGCCCAAGACTGGGTCAGCTGCCATGAAATCAGTCATGTGTCAGGGGTCTGTGGTCTGAGGCTCTGAGATGATAGCTGGGAGGACTGCAGAGCCCGGTCAGCCACTGGGGCAGAGCAGCTGAGCCTCTTGTCCTGAGGTCACAGCAGCAGGGGGCAGCTGCAACAGAAGGTGCCCTGGTCCCCACAGCAACCCGAAGGCTGGAACTAAATCCTAGAATTCCAGTTTGGAAGCTCCAGTGTCCCCAGTTTACAGATAGAAGCTGAGCTTCCAAAGTCACAGCCGCAAGGGGCAGAGATATTCCATGTTGTCCCCCACCAAAAATGCAAAATAAAGGACAAAGACTGACAAATCTCTGAGAAGGTATCATTTCAACAGGCTTTTCTCTTTGTGTAACAATCTTTCCCTGTGACCGTAATGCTTGTGGCCTGGGTATCTCCAAAGCTTACCAGAACATTTTGTCAGCTGAAGGAGTCTCTGAAGTTAATATGTAACAATAAGTCAAAATTGGATGGGGGGAGGGGAGAAATTACTTAAACTGGGGTTCCATATTTATATGAATTGGCTCAATTTTAAAATGAAGTATGTTTTTCTAGTTCATTGTTATTACTGTCACTTACACTTTGTTAACAATAATACTCCTATTGTTCTAAGTGCTCCCTTCTATCCCCTTCCACTGTGGTTTTTTCTTCACCGTATATATACACAGTCTAGCTATAATTTTCCTGCTCCTCTCTTTTAAATATTTAACTCCATGAAGGTAGCTGGACCTCTTAAAAATTGTCTTTAAAGGGTTTTATAACATTTACCACGTGTAAGTGACCACATGGAGGGCTTGTTACAGGAACTTTGTACATCAGTCATTTAACGTATCTAATTAATCATACTTATTTTTTGAAATCTGTGTCATTCGGTGGGAACAGCACACGTGCTACCCACAGTGAAGCACACAGTGATAAACTGAGTGTTTAGCCAGTCTGAAAAATACGATATGAACATTAGTCGTCTGATATTTATTAATGAACGATTTCACAACATAAAATTTGTATTTGTACAGTGCTTTTATGTAAAGTTTGTTTTTTGATATGTGCAAAACATTTCAAATACTCAAGTTTCACATATCAAGGTTAAAATAGATTCTCAGGTTTTCCTCTCCCCACCTTGAGTAATTAGTTAATTAGGGTTGCACCCAATACATGCTTCCATGGAGGACTTCTGAGCTTCCATGGGGTAACCTGGTCTGTACTGATGAACATATGGTGCATGCTTTGATCTGCAGAAAGAATCGGGGCCCTTCTGTGTGGGAAATGGGACATGGGAGAAAGTCAGTCGTGTTCCCATTCTTAGAGTTCTCTCAATACAAAGCAATTTGTACAGATAAAAGACTTCAATAAAAACTCCAGAACTTTTTTTTTCTTTAACATTCAAGAAGTGTTAGGTAAAATAGTATTGCAGCCATTTTGCAGTTATGACCATAGTCACCTTGCAAGCTAGTGATTTAAAAAAAAAATTGTTATTATGGGATATAGAATTATTACTATAGGTATATAATATTATAGGCTAGACGGTTGAAGAAAAGATCTTTTCTTCTGAAATTTACTATTTTTCTCCTAGATACAACTCTTATTTGGTTAAATTGCACATTTCAGATAGCTCTATTAGAGAAGAAAACGTTATAATCTGCTTATTGTTTCATTATTCCATTCTTTTTTCCCTTGGCTTGGCTTGATACAGCAGGCAGTTAAGAGAGCTGCAGAGCAGTGTGGGAAAACCAGCACTTTACCCGTTGTTTATCCGGCAGCGCTAAGCAATGCGGTAATACAGAGATAGGACAGTCCTGTACATGTGCATAGTCTTCAGAGGTTGTCAAAGGGTATTTACTATATTTTGATGGATTATGATGACACAAAAGAATTTTCCTTATCATACTTGATCTTTGTTTTATAATATGGATAACCCTAAAATGTAGAGATAAAATGTCAAAATCATTGAAAATCACATTTTTCATTTATCACTAAAATGAATTCATCTTTAGGTTCTGCTCTCAGAGAGCAAAATTGAAAATGTGAGTAATATATTTAAAATCCAGCTGAAAGGTGACTTTTATCTTCTGCCTTATTTTATGTAGTTCGATAGTAAATTAAATAAATACTTTCAGTATACTTGGAACAGAAAATATTCTAGTGAAAATAGTGTTTAATGTTTGTGGGATACATGAAAAGATGTCAGAAACCAACTGAAAAGGGGGTTTATGCTTGTGCTTTTATTGATTTTGTTGGGAAACAATTATAACATTTTATTTGTGGCATTCACTAGGTTTGAGCGTAACTTAAATTGAGGGCTGAAGATTTTGCTGTGAAATCAGGAATAGATAAATTCAAGGTTTGGATAATGTACTTATTCTTCCCTATGCACTGTCAGCCATTGGGACAGATGTGAGGTCCTGACCACAGATGATAGCAACTTAGTGGTAGCAGAAATGTCATCCCTGACATTCAGGAGCCCACAGACAGTGAGGTGACCCTCTTCCCCACCCCCGCCCCTCATATGGTGTTGCTTGATTCCATTTGCTGGGGCTTCAGCTGTGAATTTCTCTCCAGTTCCCAGTGGGAGTCGAGGCCGGTCCTGAACCCCAAGTCATTTGGCCAGACTCTCGACACTACCCAGACGTGGGTCTTTCCCCCGGAAGGCTGAGCATCTGACATGCTGTCATTCATCCTGACTGCCATCGTCACATCTGCCAGTGCTGCTGCCTGGTATATTAAATCGCTGCTCACCAGAGTCAAGCCAGAGGTGGCTGCACCCCTCTAGACGCTGGCAGTGGACTGTGACCACTGTCTTTGGATTTAGCCTTGCCAAACTTGTCAGTTTCTCCAACCCCAGTCTCTCCAGATCCCAACTTCCTCCTCAAACCCTGGGAATAAGTCCATCAATTTTGTTTTCTTTAGGAACTAATTTTCATGAAGGATGGTTCTTAAACCTTTTTTCATTTAACACTCTCTTAACTTTCTTTTCCTCAATGGAATCTCTGCTTGTTCATCGTGAAAATTCATCCTATTAAAATTCTTTGTTTTCTCTTATTGATTCCTCTATTACTATTTCTTCCCATTTGCGTATCTGAACAATGTTAGATAACCAGTGACATCTCACCAAATTGATATATTGCTCGCCAAATCCAGAGTTCTTAAGTTGTGTTAGCGTATGCAGCTTAATTAGGGAATAAAGGTACACTTTTATTTTAGGCTTTAAAAACTCTTGAAAACAGTCCAGGGGTGGCTGGTCACACCTGTAATTCCAACACTTTGAGAGGCTAAGGTGGGAGGATCACTTGAGGCCAGGAGTTTGAGACCAGCCTGGGCAACATAGTGAGACCCCACCTCTACAAATATGTTTTAAGTTAGCCAAGTGTGTTAGTGTATGTCTGTGGTCCTAGCTACTCAGGAGGCTGAGGTGAGAGGATTGTTTGAGCCCAGGAGTTCAAGGCTGCAGTGAGCTGTGATCCCACCACTGTATTCCAGCCAGGACAACATAGCTAGATCCTGTTTCAAAACCAAAAAATATGTCTTAGAAACAGTTTGAGGATCTCCTCTACCAATCTCAGTGTGGGAATCATTTCTTTGT